TATATAATGTATTCAGTGTTACAGTATATGGTGAGCAGCAACGTAGGTCCTCCTCCATTCTAAGAAGAACGGGCACAAAATGTTAAAGTTCTGTGTAGACCAAAGTATTTCACATTTACATCTACCAGGTACGTTTTCACTGGAATAATGTTCATTAAGTTTATTTCTCCTCGTGGGCTCCTCCTGTTATGTTTTTTGTTTTTCCAGTGAGATTTATACAACTTACTCTTAAAAAGATCATGTCAGCTGTCCACAGGTGGATCTTATTTTGATGTTTTCTGAGAATGTTAGCATCAGACAGGAGCCAGTTTCTTTATCTTTGTGCAGTGTTTGATGTTTTTAGGACTACTCTTGTTGATATAGTTGGGATTTTAAAATTTAAGGGTGATATATGCATTAAAGCACCTTATATTTGAGTGTTGATTCTACAATCACACTATTTTATTTTTGTACTTTTTGCACCATACTGTAAATGTTCAGCTCATTCAGGAGAACTTTTTTATTTTAAATATACAGTATTTGACTTAATGTACAGACATTTCATCATAGAAATATGTTAAGATCATTTAAATGTCTTTAAAAAATGTTCTCTGGCTTTTGTCTCTGCCACATAACTTTTCTCTGAAATCGCCCCACAATAGAGAGCACAGTCAACAGCAGTTTTATTTTATTTTAGCTCAAAATATTTGCTTTGAAACTGGCAGTAAATGGTCCTAGCTTTTCGTTTGTTCTTCATAAAATACTGCAGAAACATAAAAATTGACACGTGGGACCATCAGAGTCCTTTGTCATTCAGAGTTTAAGAATTTGAAAAATACTTAGTCTTCACACACTATTTGAAACTTATTTTTCAGTCTGCCTCTTTGCTGTCCAAGTGACAGGCACCATTTTTGTCATGGTTAACATGGTTATTGCTGCAGCTCTAACGTTTCTTTTTAATTTTGGTTCATTTTATACTTGTAGGTCTATGGAAGCCCATTTCCACCACCCTGATAAAAAAATAAAACTTGTATCTCATAATTATGACTTAGCTATCTCATTATTATGAGATAGTATAATTATGACTTAGCTATCTCATTATTATGAGATACTATCTCATAATTATGAGATAGCTAAGTCATAATTATGAGATAGCTAAGTCATAATTGTAAGATACTATCTCATAATTATGACTTAGCTATCTCATAATTATGAGATACTCCATAATTATGAGGTAGCTAAGTCATAATTATGAGATACAAGTTTTATTTATTTTTTATCAGGGTGGCGGAAATGGGCTTCCATATTGTTCAAACATTAAAATGTAGTAGCTGCATTAAAATTGTGTACAGTAGTATTTGTAGTAAAATGTCCGTCGTCACTTACACTCCGCCTACTACAACCCAGCAGCCAATCACGTACGAGCAGTGACGGTTTTCTTTAAACACCAATCACAAGCGCAGATTTCCTATTGTAGGCGTTCTAAATATCTTTACAGCCAATCAGTGTGAAGTGGGCGGGGCCAGCTCAGACACCGGCGTTCGTTTTGGCAGCTGCCTTCAGACTAGAATGGCGACAGCTCTGTGCGGTTTGCAGTCTAGTGACAGCAAACCAACGAGAACTGCTCGAGAGCCGCGGAGGAAAGTAAAAGATTCCCGAAGGAGACAGGCCGCTCTGCTGTTTCTCAATAATATCTCTCTCGACGGACGACCCCTTTGTCAGCTTAACGTAAATGACGACCAAAATGCTGCGGAGGAACCACGGCTCGGGGACAGAGACGGCGCTGCGGCGGAGCAGCAGCCTAATGAAGGACCTGGGACCCAGCAGGTGACCGAAACCTTCGCGGCYGGTAACGGCTCATCCTCCAGTTTACCAGGGGTGTTCAATCCTGTCCGGCCCTCCGTGGTAACGTCTCCGGCTCCGGGACCGACCGCTACGGGTTCCATTGGACCCAACGAGGTGTTTTTAGAGAGCGGCGGTGCGGTGGAGACGCTCACCCCGGACACCCCTCTGTCTCCGGTCCCAGCCGGACACCAGCCGTGCTCACGAGCCAAGTCAACACCCGCCGCACTCAGCCCGGTCCCGGCCGGAACCCCCGTGGATTCACGTCCGAGGTGAGCTCACTGCTGGTCGGGGTCTCACCACAAAAATGTCTGTCGGCCTTGAAAAAAAGGCCACTTACTTCCGTATGTCATGACTCGAGAAAAAGGTATCACCAGAGGAAATCACTTCCGTTTTTRCTTTCCAGTATTTTCTCTCCACTGAAACCTGTGATAACATGCTGTGTAACTGAGAACATTATTCCTCTGTCTTCTCCTGTTTATCACTGTGTAATTAGACAAGACATTGCATTTAAAATTACATGTATTATGTGGGGTGATGTTTGTTTGAAAACACAGGGCTGTTTGACTCTCTCACTGGAAAACATCTCATATAAGACTAATAAAATAATCACAGAAGAAGTTAKCCCACATTTAAAATTGCTTGAGAATTTTTTTCTTAAAGAGGTCTTTATGCACAGGCTGAGGAACACCTCTGGTTCTCCAGGACCCAAAGTGCCAAAGAAAGTCCACTTCATTAAGAGTATGAGGCAGTATGATACCAGGGGATGCAGGTGAGTCTTCAGATATACCTTTAAAACATGCTGACAAAAAAGAAAAGTAAACAAAACAAAGGCTGTTTTGTATTGGAGGAACAATTAGAGTTATAAGCTGCTTACCTCTGGCTGAGAGGCTGCAGAGGAGTACCAGGAACACTGTGTGGTGATTGCTGCAGTAAATTTAATCACTTTGGATACTTAGCAAACTCCAAAAGCGGTGCAGTGAGGAAATTTAACACCATGTTGCACCAGCGGTAAGGGTTTCTCAAAGCTTAAATTACACACAGTTAGCAGCCTTCTGACCACATGGGTGTTATAAAACTGTCTTGATATGTCATCGTTTTTGATATTCTGACTTTGCACTCTGACATAATCACACAACCCCTTAATTGTTATTTGTTTAATCATTTTTTTTCCATTTGTCTTCCACTTTACCATAATCCAGCACTTCATAATCATTTCCACATACACCTCATTAAGCGTGTGTGTTTTCTGCTGGTGTGTGCCAATCAACCTTGAACTGTCTCAAAGGTTTGACTTTCTGTTTCTATTTGTTCCCGAGTGGAGGCGAACCTGTAGATTATGTAACTGAAGGTAATGAACACTATAGCAGATGTCAGCACTGCAACGTGCCGCCACATATGAGACTTTAAATCCTGCCTTCGGCTCCGGTGTTTACTGCAACGTGTTTTTGTGGCAGAAGCTGCAGATGTGGTGGTTTTTGTATGGAGCTGTTTGTGGAGGTTTACTGGTTGTGTTGTTGGTGTTGTGAAGACCGTGACGAGCCGGTTTCTCCACTTGTGTCTTGTGTCCTGAAGCTCTGGTTGATGTTTCATGTTTAATTGCTTGTAACGTGTTTTTTTTTTGTTTTGTTTACTTAGTTAGCATTAGTTTGTGCTTTTTGTGCATTACCAAGACATTTAAGTCACAGAGTTATGTAAGATGCGTACAGAGAAGTTTTATTTTACTCTGAACACAAAAGAAACCAAKTTTTGATACAATCTGCTAAAATGAACAAAACTGTAGCTCAAAGGTACAATTAGCAAAAGTAGCCTAAGATGACAAAATAGCTGAAGTCTGAGAACAACATTTAGAAACAATTGAAGAATTTCAACGTRTATCTGTGGAGGGGAAAGTTTTTAAAAGGCAGTCAAGTATTTCCAGAAGTGTCCTGATGCATCTCAGTAATCCGGGTAAAAAATCAAAAAGAAAAAAA